TTTGTAAGTTTTGATGGGAGCTATCAGTTTGGAGTTACTTGTGCCATTGATTTGATTAAAGGCATTACGCATTGTCTAATGAGTTTTACACATGGCTGAGTGGTGAATAATCACCCAGTGATTTCTGACCCAGAACTCCTCTTCACACCTCCTCCTTCCCTCATTTTTCTCACTTTCTCTCTTTCTCACTCCCTTGGAGCAGAGGACCAGACACTTGGTAGTTCACAGAAGAGGTAACGGAAATCAATTGAGACCGTGATTTGAAGAGTTTTCTTTCTGTTTTTTCCTCTTTCCCCCTCCTCTCAAGTCAAATTGATTCCTTTGCTTGCTTGCTTTAATATTCATTTTAGCTAAGTGTTCAGTAAATGTGCAGAGAATATGAATATTAGGTGTCAAGACTTTTTGCATGAGATCAGTTTTGAAAACTATAAATTTCACCCAGCTGAAAATTGTCTGGCAATTAAAGTGTATTGTGTGTAATAAGCAGTGTCTCTATTGGGTGTTTAGCTTTATCGAGCCTGTCTAGAGATGGAACTCATACCTGCTGCTCTGTGAATTGCAGCACATAAAAGATGGACTGAATATGTTCCTGGGGAATATTGCCCTCTCCAAAAGACCAATCCGTCTTGCTTAGGGAGGCAATCTTAGGTGCGGTAGATAAACTAATATTTGTGTATAACCTCAGTCAGACAATACAAATGATCGGATGATTTTTCATCTCCTTATGCATACAGGGAAATATGAAAAATTGAGGTTTAGGAATATTTGCAGGGTCTGTGAGGCGGCTGACTGGGCCGCTGAGTGCCCTGGGCCACGCTCCTCACCAACAACTGCAGAGTGAAGAGTGATGAGAATATTATGCCCGTCTGTTTCCCGTCACTCCCCATCCTCCCCTCCCACCTTCTTCATTCTCTCCTCTCACCACACTAATTCACATGGCCACAAGATGGAGAGAGAGGGAGCGAGCAAAGCAAAATGAGAGATAAGGCAATAGGCTGGCCGCCCCTCTGGCTCGCCGTCTTCGACTTTTGCTGTCTGTCCATCATTCATGATTGACAGTCATACTGACATAGATCTCTTGGTCCTCTTGCTCTTCTTTATTGTCCCCCCACCCTAAACCAACCTCCCAGCACCACTGCCAGCTCAACCATAGAAACCGTTTCTTCATTTTCTGGGCCTCAGCTCTCTTGCTGCTACAAACACTTCTTATTGGGTTAATTTGCGGATGTTACTGGGCCAAGAATTCATTATTTTGGGGAGCTGGTGTGCAGATAGGGGCAGAGAAGCATTCCTGGTGTTGACGTTTCGTCGTAAAAAAAAAAGGTCATGTTTGAGGTTGAGGGAAGATGCAGGGTCTTTATCTGTGGTAGAGATGTTCTTAAGTCATTAACCATTCAAAAATCCTCCAAACTAAACTTTAATTTATATTAGATTTATTAAATGCATACATTGAACAAGTACATGCAACAACCAGCTTCCTTTTATACACGTTTGTTTTTATAATGAGCAGCCGTTGAGAGCAGAGCAAAAGATGTTTTACCAGTGTCAGTCAAGAAAAGGGCATGTTTTGCTAAGAGACAGGGTGCATTTGGATCCCTTCAAATATAACATCCCAGTGTCTCTCTCTGTACTTTCCCTGCCTTGAAAAATATGCTGAATCCCTAAGAATCCACATGTCAAGTGCAATTCCCCTCACCACCACTCCCTGACATGGAGATGGTGACATTTACCCCAACGCTTCCCTCTCCTCCTCTTCAGGTTTTGAGAGTTTTTATTTTTAGTTTATTGCGTTGCCTCACGCCAAAGCCTCCATGTTTTCCCTTGAAAACCTTTCTGTTTGCTTTCTATATTTCTGCATTATTTGCCTGTGCCCTCTGCTTTTCAATATGTCTTTTTTTTCTCCCCCTTTTTATTTCATTTTCTCCCACCCTCCCACTTTATCCTCTTCCATCCTCCTTCCCTCTATTTTAGCTTTACTGCGGTGAGGAACTTATACCCTCCCCTGTTCATGATAAATCAGGGGTGTGAGCGGCGGTGCTCAGTTGGAGGCATCAGTCGCGAGGCTGATGAGATAAGCGGTGCTCATCTCGTGGCCCTGTATGGAGATTTATTGGGTTGGGATAAGCAACAAGCTAGCCATCACTCTCAGCCAAATAGACTCCCCGCCTGCATGTGTTTATTCTTATTGCACTGCCACGACCACTGCCACTGTCAGGGGTGGAGTAGCCCCCGGAGGCCTGCTCTGTGGTAAAGGAAGCCTAGCTCTGCTCTCTGGATCATTACCTTCTATTAGATCACAAAAACAAGGCTCCACACTGGGACTCTGAGTGACACTGATGGCCCAATTTTTCTCTATCGCCAAAGACCACATACAGTAGGCATATATAAAATAAGGTTATAGTCTATATTGGCTCATCATATCTGAGTGCTAATGGTGTTGTCATCTTTTTCTTTTGGATTTCTAAGCTCTTCTTTTGATGCGCTTAAGAATTCCTAATGAGGCAATTCCATCTGCCTCAGACAAAAATATATATTAGGTGCTGGGGCAGTTGTCAAGGGGTTGTCAAAGCTTGATGGATGCACACGTTCTCTTTTCACCAACAATTGTGTTATCTTTAAATTTTTGGGACAGTTTACTAAACTCACTGGCTTTATATCGGCCACTTGTCCACTTTATGCTAAGTCTAATGCATACCTGTGTACGTATAACCAAACTATTTGACCTTTGCACCGAAGAAACCATATAATATTCCTTTTTCCAAAAAGATTTTCAGTTTATAACCAAACAAATCCATCCATATGGAAATAACACTATTAGCATTCTTGTCGTTAGACCCTTACTTGGCTGTCATGGTATTAGTGTTGCTCATGGTAACAAATGCTATCTAACATTAGTAAAAATTGGCTGGATGCCTCCTTATTCCTACATTTTTGCTATTTTCACACACAGCATTTTCTACACATTATCTGTATGTAAGAGTCAAAGAAACCTAGTGCAGGTTTAACCTAGATGTTAAACAGTAGTCTTTAACAGTGACACCCACTGAAAGTCTGTGTGATGTGCCATTTCTCCTGAAAACAACATCTCATATTACAAATCACAACTTAGATGGAAAAACAAACAGTAAAAAGGCCCGCTGTGACACCGTACTGACTTCAGAGCAGTGGGTTCAAGAGAATACTGAAAGCCATTAATCTGTAGTTGCCACACGTGGCCACAGTACCACTGTGTAGCTTAATCACCATCATCTCACTTTAACTCCAGCTGCTGATGACAGCATTAATTTCAGTGGGCGAGTAATCTAACACAACCGTTGCCTAGCCGGTGTCAGGGAGCCTCAGGCCAGAAGGTGCACATCAAGCATCTTCTTCCTCTCTCCACTTCCCCCTCCCTGCCACAAAAACATACACTCCACTCACCCAACAAGTTCTCCACAAATTGCTTTTACCCTCCTCACCCCACAAGTGTACACATGAACACACAAATACACGCACAAACTTAGGCCTGGGCAGGGTAGTGGGGGTTAGTTTTTCAGCACTCAGGTTATATTTAATCATGGCTGGCGGATGATGAGGCTTTTCTCTTTATGAAAGGTATTAGAGCAGCACTGTGTTTTCACTCAGCTTTACACTCTGCCCCCATGCTTTTCTTCCCCTGACCTGTGTTACCATGTGCCAGGGAAGAATTTGATAAAGTGACACCAGGCTCCCACTATCTCTACCTTTCTCTCCATCTCCCATCTCTGTCTCACATTCTAATAGTTCGTCTGGCAGGTCTGGACTGTCTCTCATCTCATCAGTGGGGTCACACCTCTGGGCTGCCCTTTTCCCTCTTCACCAGCACTTGCCTTGTCATTTATTTTGCTGCTGAAATGGCCAGCAAACCGGCAGGTCTGATTCAATCTCTTACATCCTCAGGCTGATGTACCGGACAGAGTGCGATAGTGCTCGCAGAAATGAAGAGGGGCAGGGTTTAACAGTAGGAACATCAGGCTGTGGTGTCCTGCAACTTTTTGCACTCTGCTCATCCTTTGCTCTTTCCTCACTAACAACAACCTTCAGGGAGTGTTTTCTTGCACCATTCATTGTTAAAACACACACTCCTTGGCCAGGGAATTGCACTCTGACAGAATACTCTAGTATTCAACTTTCCCTTCGCATCCTTGCGTATGTGACTTTCCTCAACCCTAGTTGATCTGTACTACTTCTATTTAAGGGTCCTATTCTCTTTGATCGAACTAAAGTTACAGAGAAAAGTGAGAAGCATTGGGGAAGCTCCAGCAGGAGGGTTTACATACCCTTTCAACACTTTGAGAAGAGGGGATGCTCTACATTCTGCTTCATGTTGCACCCAGAGACTCTCCCCACTTCACTAGCATGCATCAGCAGACACTTGGTCATTAGGTAGATTGACAGTGATTGTCTGGCCTGCAGAGCTGAGGCAGCCTCTGCTCGGCTCAGATGCCTTCTTTGAAATGCACACATATAGATTTTGTGTGAGTGAACAGAATTAACAGAAAATGTTACAAGCTCAGGTAATCGATAAAGTGTGAAAGATGCGGCGGACAGTGTGGAAATCACATTTTGGACAGGTTACTACTTCATAATTGATTTGGCTTTAAGCAGCTACCTTTTTTACTTTAAAGCTGGTGGTTAGTGTCTCAGTGCTCCTTTTTCCCTGCACTAAAACGGCAAAAAGTGAAAGGTATGCTGAGGCGTGATCAGAGTGTGGTGTTCTGTCTTACAGAACTTTGCCAATTGCTCTTTTCTTTTCAGTTTCTTAGATAGGGTGCAGAGACTAGTTTCCTCCTTTGTGTTCTGTGAGAGTTGGGCACGTCAAACTAAACGCTCTAGCATCTTATATCTGTCATGTTGGATTAAGCTGTTTAGTAGCTGTTTTGACAACGGAGCTTGAACTCAGATTGATTTGTATTTTTCCATTAGTTTATCCCTTTTCCATATCAGTTTTCATGTGAGTTTCTTTCTGTTTGCACATTCAGAAACAAATCTTCAGGAGGTTGGGACTGTCCTCTATTATTCATCGGTAGTAATGATGAGAGGAGCTGGCAGGATCTGTGGGCTTATTGATCCTGTCCTCTGGTTTCGTGCCTTACCTCCTGTGGGGGTGGAGGAAAGGAGGTGAGCTCAGCCCAGATGCACATCTCTTCTCAGGAGCTGAGATCTGGCCAGCCCTATGTTTCTCTTCCCAGGCACTGAGACCTTGGTGCGTCATTTTTGTCTTGAGAGCCCTGTGTTGCTGTGATTTAGAGATACTGAAGTTTTGTCATGTTATCTGTTATTTCGAAAGGTCTGCTTTCTGTTGCTGTTGTTAATGGATTATTAAACATAAAGCGATTCCCTTTTTTCTAGTTGTAAAATATTACGCTTTGATTATGACCCCATAACCCCACAGATAACAGTCATTCAGAAACTGTACAGTTTTTAATGCTCTCATGAATTGTGTGAGTTTGGGGTATTTTACTGTCTTAATGGGAATTCTTGAATGCATTATATTGGGGCCTTGCAGAGATTTTTGTGTCCTTTTATTCCGCTGTCCGTGTCTATGTATTTCTTCACTAAACCCACTTCCCCAGTATACAATGCAAGCAAGCTAAATTAGGCCAACCTCCTTTTAATACCGTGGAGAGGGGAGAAGCAGCCATTATGAATTATCCTTAATTACAGCCATTTCCTAAACTAATAAAGCTGCTGAATCTTTACTGCAAAGGTTAGTTTACCCAGCATGCATAAAAACCACTTCGTGTGTGTGGGTTCATGTCTGTGTGTGCGCGTATGGGTGCGGGAGAGCTGGATGGCTGGCTGGCAGCACCCATAGTCCCATTAATTTCACGTGGGTTCCCTATCACCAGCCACAGATGCCTATAGACACGTAAATGAGTCTCCAGCGAGTGGCGGGCTGCCTCCGCCAGCCAGCTCGGGCCTAATGGTCTGGAAAGCCAGCTTATGTGACGGAAGGAGATGAGGGCCTTATTTACACTGGCACACATTAGTGGATGGATGCTGATTCACTGATTAACACGTCAGCCTTTCCCACATCCCCCCCTCTCATGCCTCCCTCAGTTCACCTCTTTCCTCTGTACCTTCAAACCTTTATGCTCATAGTTACACACAATAATCTGACTATACAAAAAAATGACTTGCATAGCCTTTTTTTGTTTTTGTTTTTCTTCTTCTTGAAATTTACTACACCATTCACAAGCTTATACCGGTAGGCATCTAGTACATACGCTAAAACACACACACACACACACACACACACACACACACACACACACACACACACACACACACACAACATTGCCACTCTTGGAAATGCATGGTGGCAGGCTGCTGAGAACAGGGAAGCCATCTGTGAATGATAGCTCCTATGGAAAGATAATGTTTCCCATGCAGCACCGAGTGAGGCGCTGATGGAAGAAGATGACTTTTTGAATGGTTAAGTGGGTAAACGTTAGATCATGGCCACAGTGCTCCCATTTGCCTCACTCACCATCAATCCCTCCCTCTCCCCCTTGCTCTGCCTTTCTCTCTTTTTTCCCGTCTACTAGATTGTTTATTGAAAAAGCACGAGGAGGCCGCCGATAAGAGAGGCAAGGCTAATGCCGTGATTTGTGTCAGTCACGCCGTACAATTTGTTACAATCGCAACACTTATCACAATATAATATGTTTATTCTGGTCAATTAAGTGGCACAGGAAGGCTCCTGCATTTGAAGTGTCACATGCAAGATGGGACGGGGTGAGGGCGATCAAAGGAAATGGAACTAATCTAATTGTACAGCATCTCAAGCTGCTGCCACCTCCGTAGCCCTTGCCATCGCTGTTCGGCTTATAAACTGATGCATTTTGAAGAAAAGAAGGAGACACAACTACAGGTTTACAGAAACAGAGGTGGCTAGGTGCTGATCTGTATCTAACGTGTTTGTTGAACAGATAAAGGCAGGTGCTGCACATGTATGCAATCAAACAAAGCAATCTGTTTTGTTTTGGGGAGGTTTTATATCAATTTTTGGCTTCACATATATGCACTTGCTTAAGTGTCATCAAACGTATTTAGACATTCAGTTCAGCACATACAGAGAGACAATGCTTGAAAAGCAAGATTGTAGTGCTTACCATACATATGCTCCGTAAACACAAGAAAGTGCTTGAACTTAGAGCATTTGCATTCAAACACAATCGTACACATCCCTCAGCAAAGAATAGGACATAGATGACATAAATGCAAAGAGTAAAAGTGCAATAAATACCCAAATAATTGTGCTATTACAAAGGTTTACATTTGCAAACAAATATAGATATATACAAGCACTTTTAATTTAAAATGCAAATACACTCAAAGAATAAATGGTTTATCAGAAGACTTTTTTTTCCAGTTATACAACATCATGCACGCACGGTCACACACACAAACACACACACACCTGGACATGTTTTGGCCTAGTCCAACATGGATCCCAAAAGAGTCACAGTATACATAAAAACAGGCCAGGCAGTGAAGGCGGACTGTGTAGCAGACCAGTGCTTCCATCGATCTGAGAGGGTTCATTAGGTAAGTGCTGACATCACAGATTGATGTCTCTTTAAACCAGTGCCTGCTGAGGAGCTGACAAGGAAAATCACCACTATTGACTCCCTTAGTGGTATTTGTGTGTGTGTGTATGCGTGTGCCTTCAACGTATTGTGTGATATGTACACGTGCCAGTAAAATGACCATGTGCGTACTAACATTTGGCACACAGCTGTATCTGTTTGTGCCTGTGTGTGAGTGCACAAGTGTGTTTTCCTAGAAGCCACATTACATATCCTTGTCTTTAATGGGCTCCTTGGGTGTAGGTGTTCACCAGTGTTGCCAGTTATACAACCAGCCATGCAGCTAAGGAGCCTGTCAGCCTGTTTCTGCTTTTACGCCACCATGCATCCATTTGCTATCAGAGTAGGAAAGAGATGGAGTGGAAAATGGAGATAAAGAGGAAAGGAAAGAACGTTGCGTGGAGGAGTCATAGAGGGACTGAACAGAATCTCTCCCCATCTATATTTCATCAGCACGTTTAGAAACTCTGTTTGGTAATTATGTTGTGCAAGTTTCTGACTAATTTGCAATCCAGTGAAAACCCCGACATGGGGCAGCTTACATTCCATATGAGAGCTAAATGCTGTTTAGTTCAAATTTAGGAGTTTGGTTTTTAAATTCTTGTCGAGGAACCAAAAAGTTATCTCTATATGTGACCCCAGTTCCCCGAGCCTCTACTTGTTGATTGATTTGAGATGTCGTTTGTATCTGATGCTTTTCTCTAATTAAGATCAGGCTAGAATCGGTGGCATTGAGCGTCTCCACAAACCTATTGATTGGAATGGGGAAGGAGTCGGTGTTTGTGAGGACACAAGTGACAGGAGTGAAACTGCTGGAAACAGCCAGAGCATTAGACACACCAGATCGAGGAGACTGATGGTCCACAGTTTCCCCACTGCTGGTCTTTTTTAGATCACCTCTAGTTCAACTTAAAGTTGAAGTTTTCAAGAAATGTCTGGTGACATGCTGAAGAAGCACAGACAGTAGAATTTTGGTTATGCAACCACAATAGTGAACTTCTACTAATGGAATCATTTTTGACAGCATCAGGCTGATCATCATTTTCAAATTTAATGTTGCATTTACAACACAGAATGATCTGTTAAGTGATTTCTTTTAAGTATCGATCTGCATCTGTTGTGGTACATCAATACTTTGTGGTGAAATGTTAAAGTGGCATTGATGCCTGGATCTCAGTGTCACCTACTCAGCAGTCTTAAGCTCTGATGACGATACAATAAGCATTACCTCCAATAAACACCACGGTACCACATCTTGTAGCTTTAAATGAGCAATTGATTAGTTCCTTTGAAGAATGATGTAATCTCAGTGTTCTCATGTCCATTTAAAATGTGTTTAAGTGATATATAGTTGAGGAGAAACAAAAGAAAGTCACTTTATCTGGCATTAATAGTATCAATACACAACACGATGTCTTGAAGGAAGCAAGAAAAAGTGAAACAACTAGAAAAGTTTTCTTGTACTTTATTTTATCATGAGCTGAGCATAATGCAAAGTGTTAGGATTGAAAAATGTGCAGAACTGAAGGCAAGATTCCCTTCTAGGCCATCACCACCAGAGGCACATTGCTATTGGCTGCCTCCAGGAGATTAAAGAGAATAATTGCCAGCTGATTGGCTGTTTAATATTTCATGGACCTTTGATGCACTGGGTGTTTGTATTACCTTTATCAGCAGGCATAATAATAGGATAGGCTTTGACTCACTTAAGTAAAACAGGCTTTTTCACAGTACAGGAATTGCTACTCTTCTTTTGAGCAAAAATGAACACAATAGACTGTCAGTATATTTTTATGGGCTATACAATATGACATATGATCATTTGAACTGATCAATACTATTGGTATCACAGAAAGATATATAGATATAGATATATAGATATCTATATATATCTATATAGATAGATAGATATATCTGTCGGCGCATAGGTGTGTGTTTCATATAATTTGTTGATTACACTTTCTAATAAGTACTGAAGATGCAGTGATGGATTTCATCTTACATTGTAACTGCGTATAATATTTATATTTTTCAGTGCTGAATACATAATAAACTGAATAATAATAACCGAATAAAAAATAAACCTCCAGTGTAATTTATGCAAAATATATAACGTCTATAGCTACTACAACTATAGCAGTTGTGGTACTGCAGTTGAGAGCACACAAGCTGCAACAACAGTAGAACATTTATAGTACTACTACTGTTTATTTCAGGATTGTTCATATTTTCAACAATTTAAAATTTTGGAAATCCTTCTGTTTTAACTCTATACAATAAAACTAATGTGTTTTACTGGCACTTGCATGAGTATGAGCATATATGAGAGAGTATATGAGCTAGATGTGCTAGCTCCACCCGGATCAGGGACAGCTGCCATTGACGGTCCCATGTTCGTACCTCTGCCTGATGACACTAATCTCTTTCTGTAGGTGACCTACCTCCTCTTTCCAAATCTGTCGGCGCATAGGTGTGTGTATGTGTGTGTTTGTGTTGTGTGATGGTTGCCGCGGATGTCTCCTCTGTGGTTCCGCTTCGGAGGTCCAGGAATGGTGAGCTTCTCATGGTTGTCACTTTGAGGTGTGAGAGCAATCATTTCCTTGGACAACAGTCCCATCCTCATCCCTGCTTCCCGCCTGCTCGGATTAGTTCCTCTTGCTAAGAAAATTTGCATCCAGAATATTTTCTCCTAATTTATTTTTTCACTATATTTCCAGTTTTCTTTTCTTTCTTTCTTTTTTTTTCTTCCATCTGTGTCTCTTTCACTGCCCTTCTCTGTTTCCTTTCTCCTTGTTTTCCCCTGGACGCTGTAGAGCATTTTATTACAGTTGTCAGAAGGAGTAACAATTCTATTGTGGGGTGATTACAACAGGGTGTTTTACCCACAGATCACCAGAGCAATTAAAATCTGTAAATAAGGCTACCCATGATGCCTCAGTCCAAACAATGGGGTCCCATAGGAAGTGTTTGTTTGAAGGAGAACAGTGGAAGTGAGTTTCTCTTCCTTTTACTCTCACTCTCTCTCTCTCTCTGTTTCTCTCCCTCATTAATTAGGATATGCTCCTTCAACCCAACATGACTGTGTCGATGGGCAGCTCTGCACAATCAGTGTGACACATATTTCAGACACAAGATGAAGTTGTTTACTTTTGTGTCAGACCATGCATTGCGCCACTACACTTTTGTTTTGCAGAATGGAAGAGACAATGCAGGCCTAATTGTGCCAGTTACAGCTGTTAGGGAGAGGAAAGAGAAAGACTTGTGCCAGCTACTGTGAAAAGGAAAGTAGGGACTCTCTTGTGCATCTGTGTCTGACACCCGTGCAAACAACACTTACGATAAGGATGTTTTAATGATAACTCTCACAAACTTTTGTTGTATGTTGGTTTTGAGCGCTATTTAAGTAATCTGAGAAAATACCAATTGGCAAAAAAAGAATCAGTCTGACTATGACTCTTAAGTTGAAAGTCCCTTAACTCCTGTCATGTCATTTGGCCTGTATTTCTTCCAATCACTTGGCAGTGTATCACAATTGTGCCCTGCCATAGTCAAAGGACAGTTCTGCCAGGTAATGTCATATTATTTCAGTGAACAGTTGCATTAGGAATCAAGCTATCCATCAGCACAGAGGGATGCTGTAATTCCAGTTTAGCCTTTAAACCTGGGTTGTTGTTAATTACCTGGTTCACAGCAGTGCATAAAGTGATGCAAGCACTCTAAATTACTTCTTAATGTTTCTTTTCTTTGTAGAGACAAAAGAGCTCTTTGTAGTTTTGTGGGAAGACATGTGGAACATGTCATGTATTTCGTGTCAGGATGTGTGTGTATCGCTTCCGCAACCGCCCCCACCCCACTTCATAAATTACTCACGATTGGAGTTTGGGCAGGTTGGTAAAGGAACCAGATAGATAGAAAGAGGACGACCGTGGGAGTATTGCAGCTCAACACAGCACCATGATGATGCCAGACTTCAGGGGCCTAACCAGAGGCTATATGCCTTATCAAGATCCTGTTTACAGTCAGCCAAAGAAGCTACCAGCCACCCATTTCCATAATGCTGCCTGCGGTCCTCCGCGGAAACTAATTTATCTGTGCCGGAGATGCACCATGATGTTGCCTGTTCTGCACCTCTCTCACTTTGTATTCTGTATGTTGTGTTTCTTTCTTTTGTTTCTATCTGGGGTTTTTTCCCTTTCTCATCTTATCCTCGCTCCTTATTTACTGTTTCTTTTTTTTTCTAACTCTTGATGAACTACTTTTTTCTTGCCTTTCTTCCAGCCATAACCCCTTAATTCTGTCTTTTTCTATCTATTTGAATCACTTATTGCTACCCAACACAGTATATATAACACATCAGCTTAATTTTTGATAAGGATGGGCGAAGAATTAGAAGCAAAATCAATAAATAAAAAGAGAGTTGCTGCTTAGAGAGATCCAAGAGTCAGTAATTAAACCCATACAAAATTTAACTGAATGGAACTAAATATATGGCACTGCCCGCTTGTGTATTTGTGATCTTGTTTTTACCCTCTTGTTATACCCATCTCTGTGTGAGTCTGCCATCTTCAGCTTTCCTCCTTGTACTTTTTTTATCATATGTTTGTGCCGATTTTTTTCAGCTTGAGCCACTTGTGTAGTTGCCATGTTCATGTGCCTGTACATCAGTGAGCATCTGCTCTTTCAACAAGGTCCCTATGGCCTCAAATGTCAGACCAAGCAGCTGCCAGACAAGTGCATTGTGCAGCAGGCTTGTGTTTTGCCTCCTCCCATCCCTCCACTTCATGTTCTGTGATGTTAACTGTGATTGAAAGTAAGTAGGCAGCAGCAACTGGAGGAGGAATGATGAGAAAGGTCTCTGTTTTTAAAGAATTCTGTTCTTGCAGTACTGGACGGCTGTTCTCCGGGGCTTTTGGCCAGGTGGGAGTAGGCGTTATGTTGTGCATTAGGAACAGCTTCCTCTGCCCCCTTGTGTGAAAGACCACTGCAATGGAAAGCCATTTGTAGTTCATCAATGCTGAGGTCCATGTACTATAGATTATCAGGGGACAAACAGCATGTGCACTTGAATCTCATGTGTGCACATGTTTGAATATGGTTCTGTATGCTCTTGTACACAGATTGTTGATTCCCTGCTGTTTATCATAGTATGGCGAGTGCAATAATATGTCACTGGATGCCCGTTTCAGAGTATACATTGTTTTGCGTATTTCTTTGTGTGATCAAGTAGTCACAGGGTGTGAGCACTGATGCGGAAGAGATGGAGGGTGAAGAGACAAGCAGGTACCCCCCTGGAGGGACCTTGGGGGCATCAGGCCAGGGGTAGCCCCTCTAGCTCCCTCACAGCACACTCTGGTTTGCTCTCAGACACTGCTATTGATTTGTCCACTAGATAAGACCACAGGTTAGCTGCTCTACTAAGTATTGCTCTTTTCACCTCCCTTTGGCTGCAAACAAATCCTGGAGACTGGTTCCATTTGATGTTAGCTGATGTTCCTTTAGACTTATTTTTTCTACCAACACTACTTAACCATGGCATAAAGCAGGTATAAGCCATCACAGGGCACTGTGAGACTCACTCTTGCCCCATAAATGACCCAACCCTAAACTAGCATACTTCTCTATTGTCTTATCCTGAAGCTATAGGAAGCCATGAGTTCAATTCTGTGGCAGGTCTACAAGCTGTGAGAAAAGGGACTTTAGCTGTCAATCAATCCGCCTTCATTTCAGGATGCCAGAAAGTACAAATTCTGTGTTAATTCAAGCCTAAAGTAGATTAGTCCAAACCGTAAGTTGAAATTGTGCCTGTACTTTGGTATATGTGATCAACATGTGCAGCAAAGTGTAAGGTTTGAACCTGACAGATTTAGATGGGAGCCAAGGCAACTCTTGATCAGGCTAAGACAGTTCATCTCATTGCCAAGTTCTTATGTGATCGGAAGTCAGTCGGCAGCACCTCAGTGCTCACTGACAGATGGATGAATCAAGTCTTCAAAAGGCTTCATCGATGACACATTAACATGAGCCGAGCTTCCTAGAGGACTCTGAATTCTGAGCTGTCACAGGTGGCAGATGAGATAAAGCTACTATGCCGCTCTGCTTGTTTCGTAACATAACCTAACTCATGTTGAGAAAAAAAAGTTGGCACCTGCTTGACATCAATTAAAAAGCAGTTTGAGATGTGAGGGATGGCTGTTGTAGCATGTCTTGTATTTTTAATTAAAACAACCTCCTCTGAGTCATCATCAGCTTTTCATGTGTCCGAAGTCAGAACAGGTGTGAAGGTAAAACAAAGAACAGTGAAGAAAAGGAATACCACAAGGGTGTGGGTGTAACATAACTTCCCACGCATCGTAAGCCAGTATGTCCTTACAAGACATTGCAACATGCTTTATCATTGTTAATCAGAAAACTGCAGTGTAGGACAACAAAATACCAGCTTGTCATATTGTTTGTTTTTCTTTTGCTCTTAGTTACGTGTCATTTATCATGGCAGAGAGCCAGAACTGTTAGTGTGTGGTAAACTGGTTCTCTCTTGGATGAGAAATTGAGGCTGTTACCAGCAATGTCAGTAGCTGAGGGTTGCATGCAAAATTTAACTGAATGGAACAGGCATCATGAAGGATATCAATAATTTTGAATGGTAAATTTTTAGACTACAAGATATTTTCTGGTGCAGTGGCATAGTTAGAAATGTACTGCCTTTTTCTCTCCGATGCATTGCAGCAATTTGTCAAGACATAACAAAAGCTGCCAAAAGTAACAGCTCAGATGCTGTAGTTTGAACCCAATTAAAATAATAAAATAATAATGTGACCAGTAGAACCATAAAGCATTTTACTAACCTTTGATCCAATTTTTACTGGACTCTTATTAAATCAGAATCAGAATACTTTATTCATCCCTGAGGAAATTATGGAACAACTGAAACAGAATGCATGCCGATTGACTCATGCGCACAACAAAAGATAATGGAGAAGCACTGAAACTCATAATAGTTTGAATCAAAACTGGAAGCATTTTATACATGACAACCCAAAGTGTCCAAAATTCCAGTACGTCTTAAAAAGCAGCAAAAACAAAACAGAAAACATGGAAGGTATTAAAAAGAAAGAGTTACATCAGTCACTGATACTAACACTACCTAAAATGTGTAATTAATATGACAATTAAATGCAGTCAAAGGATCATGGCAAGTACTGCTGCTAAAAATCATGCCACCCTGCTCGACCCTTTTGTTTAAAGTGTTATCATATCTACCATCTGCATAGAAATTGATTGATATATTAATCTTCTGTAAAACTGTAGAGATGCTACTTATTGAAATATGGAGAATGCTTTTGACCTGCACTCAAAAAACTCTGTTTTAACCTTCCACTTTATATGAGGCTCTTAGCTACTCATAGCTGCAACTTTTTATCTACTTATCAATAGCATTTACCTGCAACATGAATGGGGAGGACAGGGACTAATTGCAGGGACAAATGTTCCTGACTGTGGGGTTTGTAGTTGTCTGGGCCTAGTCCAGGCCCTGTTTATCTCAACCTCTGTTGGCAGTCATACACACACCACACGCACTATGCTCTGATTTAACCAGAGGCAAAGCCCTCGCAAACCCTCACTCTTTCTCATCAAAGATTCATAAAGGCAAGGTTCTCAATGATTTTCTGTCTCTTCCCGTATTCACAGCTTGTTGTCCTCACCCTCCCTGTCTCCTGCCAGTCAGACAGCGGAAGTCAGACGGAATTACAGCTGAAGTGGCCGCTGGCTCCGTGTGCGTGTGTATGTGTGTATACGTGAATGTTGGTTTCTGTGGGTTTATGGCATGTGTGCTTGCACTGGTAGGCGTTAGGTGCAGAAACGGGGTAGCACATGGTCACAAAGGCAAGGACACGGATGGACAGTGCCATGTTGATGTTGTACTAAAAATGTTAGTAGCCCCCATGTGGGGAAAAGAGTTAGTCCCCACCCTCTCTTCTCTTCCCCTCATTCACTCCTTCCGCTGTTCTTTGTCTTCCTTTCCAACCCCTGAGCTCTGTGTGCTGTGGCAGCTTCCACACTGGATCTAAAACTAGCTCAATCAGAGCCCCACTCACCATGCCCAGGGCACACCATCTGTAGCCCTCTGAGTCCTTCCGTGTGTGTGTGTGTGTGTGTGTGACTATGTCAGTGTGTATTTACCTCCCTATTTATGTGTGTGTCCATTTGTGCGCAAGCTTAGAAGCATGAGTGTGAGTATGTGTGTCTGCAAACCCAAAGCACCGTGCCTCAGCCTGTTAGTCTTGGTACTTACCAGGCTTAGCCAGATGAGGGCCACTCAGCCTGGATCTAATTCCTTCGACTCTGGCAGCACTTCACTCCTGGCTCTTTTTGCCTCTCAAGTGTGCATCTGTGACCTTGGCTGACATCAGCGAGGGTTAAACTGTGGACTTGGAGATGTGGCCACAGTGATTGAGCTGTAAGCTAGTTTCTGGATCAGAGCTTCCGAACAGCCATCTGGGTGTCTGTGGGGCTCAGAAAGAGGTTATCCCTCTCTTACACCCCACAGCTGACCCTGGATCAGCTGTGACAGCAGAGAATTTAGTATGAAGCATCCTCGCTGGGATAGGTGGTACACAGTGGGGATGTTTGTGGAGTGAAAAAAATCATTAAGAGGGGAAACTAATAAAGTTGATCTCTGTTACCATGTTAGCCGTAATCCCTGTGCTTTTATTATGAAGAAGTCTGCTCATCACCTTTGATGTCTTTGTGGCAGATAGCCCAACCTGTATTGGCTTCAGCTCTTATTTTTTCTTTGTAACTGCTTGAACAATGAACATCACATGCATATTTCTTTTTTCACACACCAATAAAAGTATGACTAAGGGTTAGGTTCTATGAAACACAGTCCTCAGTTTTGCCAGTGTGGTAGTTATTACACTGTGTACCGATATTGTCAATACAAACAGAATATAATTAAGTACCTGTTAGACCACAAAGCACTTCTTTTTCAACACCCAGAACACATTTCAATGAGTGATTCACATCATCATGCATCAACTTATCTACATAGACAGGTACTTGAATAGTGCCACCCAGACACATGCACCCCATTGTATTGCACTGTGTGAACCTTTTGCATCGTGTTCTGTGCAGTGCCTCAGGGCCTAGCCTGGCTGGTCTTCCAAACAAATTGCTGGCTGTTCACAACGTTTTAAATGCTGAGTCCCTCTAATTACACTATTTACTTAATAGGGTGAAACAAAACTCGTGTTCACGCAGCAGGAGTACCAGGTGATGCAGAAGTTCAAACACCTGGCGAAAAGCACTCCTCTGGCACGGATGCACAGTATACACATGTGCATGCATGAATGCACACACACACTCACATACTGTGATGCAAATACTAGAGGTTTCTTTCATGGTTGGATTAGACACTTTACCAACTTTTGGAATTTTTTTTTGTTCATACTTTCTTGTTTACTGTGGGAAAAGGCATCTGGAAAAGTGTAGCTCATTAGTTACTGTATACCCAGTCTGACATTTTCGGAATTAGTTCTTCCTCTACTGTAAACAGAGTGAGTAATGCCCATATGGGAATGTGTGCATCATCTCCTACTTTGTGCTACTCCTTTGTTTGTTCATTTTAAAGGTTACACAAAAATGGCAGATATGTTTACCAAATATTAAAAAAAATCCTGTTTTTAATGCTGTATGCATACAGCATTAAAAACAAGCACTTTGCTGTTTGTTTTTGTAGGAACTTTTCAATGATTGTCACATTATAGCCTATTCCTGGACTAGACTAGTTTATGAGTTTGAAGATTTATGACTGTTTCAGTGGGGCGTGTTTACGATCACTGGTTTGCTGTGCCTATTATGTGATCTCATTATGACAAGCTGTGTCAACATTGATGTGACAGTTTAAATGCAGTTTTAACAAAATGTAATATTTATCCAAATATGTTTCCTGCGCTTGAAAAGTTGGTCGTTTGTTCCCATGCTTTGTTTAAAGAGGATAGCAAAGTCACTTTCTTTTTTTAAAGAACTGGAATATACCCATTTATGAAACCCAATATCTGTTGTGCAACTGTTTGAAAACTTCTATCTCACAGTTGTGCTTTAAACAAAGACTCCAAAACTTAACAACACATCCCCTAGAGAAAGAAGGATGACTTGTATCTAGGCAATTTAGGTTACAATACACTATAATTAGCTTTGCTAAGTTGACCCTGCCATTGTCACCTGAAGACAGGTGGGAATTGTGCCTAGGCTGAAACAAACTTATCATATGACTGGGGTCAGGTGTTGTCCAGTGGCTCAGTTGTATTGCTTTTGAGGCAAGCCTCATTCATCATCAGCTTTATTGCACCATTCAGATGATGCCCACAAGGCACTAACACTTGGCCAAGAGGGAGGGAGCATACAGTGCAGGGTAGGGAGGGATAAGGGTTAAAAATGATTGTTTTACAAGATCACTTTCCGCACAACAAGTTTTCACAGCAATGGTATGCCATTTCTCTGAAAAGCTAAGAGTTACCGCTCCCAATGCCACATTAACCATCTTCCGTATTCCATGACAGCAGATTTATAGCCTTCCAACGGCGAGCTGCGAAAAAGTGCAATTGCTCGCAGGCTTGTAACCTCTTTACCCTCGTCATCAAGTCCCCTTGTTGCTCCATTTTCTCTCCTGGGCTTCATAAATAAACAGCATCATCAAGAAAAACTTTTAGTGTCTTTTCACAACCATCTCTAATTGGTTTTGCATGTATACATAGAAATGTTTCAACCTGGTATTTAGCCACGTGTAACTGATTTTGGTCCATGTGTTCAGCTAGGCCAGCATTCCTGCATAGTGTTAGCTTTGTGGTATTACTAAAAGTGATCAGAATGAACTTTTTTTTCTTTGATTTGCTTTGTATTTTTTACTTTTCTTCCTGTTGAACAATTTTGTATCCTGGTACAAGTAGGCCACAGCTCCTCTCATTCCTCTCTGGACAACCAGTCAACGTGGAGCATGCAAAACAGATATATAACCTTTATTTTCCTGTTGCTGTCTCTCTAGCTCTCTCTCTCTCTCCCCCTCTCTCACACACACTCTCACACACACACACACACACACACACACACACACACACACACACACACACACACACACAATTTCTCTCTGTGAAGTTCTCTCACAGACATTGACACACAAATGCACACAGCCTTAAGCGGTGATCTGTCTCTTCAACCCTTGCCGGAAAAGAAACGGCCAGGAGGATCCTCTCTGTTTGTCCTAAAACTCCCTCTTTTTTTTATTTTTTTTTATTGGAACCTGTTTGCATTTGAACAATAGTTGTCTCCTCATAAATTTTGCGCCTGTGTTGACATTAGACCACATTCCATCCCATTGCCTGAGGAGGAGAAAGAGCAGGCCAGGGTGTTTGGTAATTTGTTACACTGTTAAGCACCTAATGGACATCCACCTGGTTTTTGAGAGTAGTAGCTTTAGTTCAGGGGCTTGCCTCTGTTGTACCTCAAGACTGCAATAGTATTTTATTGCTGCCAATTATGAAGTCTGTTTAGAGGCTACCTAACTCTGTGTGTGTTTTTGTGTTACATCTGGTTCTCCCTGCTCTAAATGGGGCAGCCAGCCAAACCACATCAAACAATTAGGGTGTGAAGCAGGTACAGACTGTGCAGGTATAACAAAACTTCCCTGTTTCTGTTGTTGACTTCAAGTAACTCTACTAAAAGTACATGGGCCGATGAAAGCTCACGGTCCTGTGTTTCCAACTGGCTGGGGATACCAGTAATGAGCCTTATTTGTTTCATGTGGTTTAATGAACAGTCCAGACTGCAGCTGGCAAGAGGGAGACCTCACAGAGTTTGAGGAAGGTACCCGTGTTCCCTGGCAGAATCATTGTTCCCAGCACCAGCAGAGCCATTGTGGCACGTGAGTGGGTGGGTGTGTTGAAAGGGCCACGCGGCACCCACTTTATCTCTTGCCCCTCCTTCTTGCTCATGCAATTTTGCATGGTTTCTGCAACCATTAATTAAAGGGGAAAAGAGTGCATCAGATGTTAGTTTTATTAGCCTAGGCTCCTTAGAGGGAATCAAAATGAAAGGAACATATGTCATGCATTTGATGATGCCCCTCCCTCTCCATTTCTCTCCCCACAATTGCCCACCTCACACATTCACAAAGTGTACAGTCAGCAGCTGTCTGCAGACACAATAGCATTTGATTGATCCTGAGGAAACGGTTAAGACGCTGCCCTACCCACGCTTTCTTTCTGGCTGGCTGGCTCACATTTTGCACCACTTTACATTTAACGCTGAATGTGGCAGTGATTGGGATAATAGGATGGTGGTTAGGGATCTAAGGCACTGTTCACGCTCTAATGAGGACAGTCCTCAGAGCACCCAGGACCTTGGAGTCCTGGGTGGTGTATGTTGAGATCTAAAGCCTGACACTTAACAGGTTGGACGTTGTTCTGAAAATTATGCCCCTGTTATACTGGTCTCTACACAACATCATTAACAGAAAATTTCCAAGAAAAAGTTTGTGCACCCTTTGCATTTTCCAGTTAATTACTTGTAACCTTAATCTGATCTTAATCTAAGCAATCTTAATCTAAGCAATCTTAATGTAATATGTAAACCACTGTGCCAGTAACTTTTCAAAAGCTACTTTGAGCCACTGGTTACAATAAAGAGATGTGATTGATAATATTAGTTGCAGACATGTCCTTCTCTATACAATACATATGGGAAGTTTTCCACATTTTGTTATATTTCAGGATTTAAGAGTCTTTTTGACATGGATTAGTTTTTTATTCATTAGTTTACCAAAAGTGTTCCACAATTACATCACAAAATAAGGTTTTTGTAATATTTTACTAATTTGCTAAAATGAGAGGCTGAAATATCCCATTTCCATTATTAGTACTTGGATAAAGTACCTTTGGTGGTAGCAGCCTCGAGTCTCCTTGCACATTAAGCTGCAAGCTTAGCAAACCTTTTGTTGGAGGTTTCCACCAATTTTTCTTGAAAGAATTTCTGTAACCAAATTTGATAACATGTTGATTCACAGCCATTCTCAGGTCTCCTCAGAAATATTCCTTTGAGTTCAAGTCCAGTGTTTGGCTTAGACGCCCCAAGACTACTGCAATGCTTTGTTTATGGAAGACAGTCTTTAGATTTCAACAAGGTTATTCCTGTGGAATAATCTTGTTGTTCATTTTTTCATCCTTGTCTCATTAATAGGTTTACTTAAATCTTGCCAGGATAAGATTCATACCAAAAAAAAGATTGATGTCAGTGGAAAGACAGCAGTGAAAGAAACCACAAAAGAAAGAAACCACAAAAAAGGTTAGAACCACTGCAACACAGCTCAGGTTTGTGCAAGATTGCCTTGATCTTCTAGGGAAATGTGCTGACTGCAGATGAAAAAAAATGATGGATTTTTTTTTTCTTTTTTGTTGGAAAAATGCAGGTACATTCAGATTTTCATTTACCTTTAACAGCCTGTTCCATAACCGATTGCTCAATATGTTTAATAGAAACATGAAAGGTACAACAGCGTGTTATTAGTTTAGTCAGATCTTCTATAATTAGGATTTGGAAGATCACATCACTGCTGATGAGAAATTCTCTTAATTCCAAAGATATACCAAACTGTCTGTTGCCCTTGCAGCTTGCAAAACACAGCACATGAATAAATACTGTCTGCCCATATCTCTTAGCCATTATACCGTATCAAATCACATACAAAGACAGATGTGCTTAATCACTCATTTCTTACACAATATTGTATATATAGAATGTAGATGGATAATATACTTCTTTCTTCTCACTCCTTGGGACTTGATTGCATGCCTTACCTTCAGGGGCAGGCTGATTTATGAGACACATGCCTGTTTTTTCATGACTTGTTTGATTGCATTCTCAGCTATCGGGCACATAGGCTGCCAAAACCATAAAAATTCACACCTGCACAGAACTCCTAGTCAGATGAACATCAGGCAAAGCATGGGGAAGCAGGTGATCTGAGGTATGCTGTTTCCCTTGATCATAATCGCAATGACATGATTGATTGATGTTCATTGTATCTTTACAAAAGCCTTCTTTTTAGGTCCAGTTTGAACGTTGCGTAGGGCTTGGCACACGCTTTGGTCGTGAATCTCGGTACACCACCCATTCTAATACTGTTCTCTAAGCTTGTGTTTTTCTTTTAGTTGCTAACGATACAAATATGAAAAGTAGGAAAAATATAACTTCAAGTTCTCACAAGTTTTAAAAAGATATCTGCCATTGCCTAATCATGTCCTGAATGTACCGAATCAAACAGCCCAAGCTGTCTATTCCCATGTCATTACAAATGACCTTCTGTAGAAATAATGCAATAAGTGTTGTCTCCTATCTACATTCTCTGGGTACTTTTTCACTTGCCCTGACACAATTGTGCATTTATCAGTGTAATTGCATGAGTCGGAAGCACTGATGTTGTCTATTAGGCGGATTTCCATCCTGTTAAGAGCAGAGGGCCTTTTAATGTATGGCCCTGGTTGAGTGTACTGCTACACAATTACACACTGGCCAGAGATTGAGTGGGCTGATGATGCTGTTGATTGGGATGGTGCTGATGGCAGTGATGATATTGGACCACCCTGCACTCTTCTAACAAGCCTTTCAGAGAG